CCTTTGGACATGCTCTGGTTGTTCATTCATTGCCTTCCTGTCTTTAATAAAATGCTTTCACTTTTCTGCCCTTCAATAAGTGACTAAAGGGAGCAGGCTCTTTTCTGGGTAGTGTCTGTTTGATAAATGATCATGTCATGCTATCACTTAGAGGAGTGTTGCAAAATACTGAAGAGCAAGTTCCCTTGCAGGGCTGGTGCCTATGCTGCTGTATTGGCCTGCAGCACGGCCGGTGCCCTCCCCATGGTTAATGATGGCTGCTGAGGAACCTGTCTTTGACCAGCATGCTCCAGCCTTTATCGGAAATGTCTGGCCTTACTGTCCTAACTAAATCTAAAGACAGCCATTTGTCATCTCTCCTGACTGCCTGTCATCATATGCCCAGGAAAATCTATAATTTTTGGCTTGTTCCTGACTAAACTGTGGAGTATATAAATTTATCTTTGGACCACTCTGCTTGTCAGGATCAATATTAAGCAGAGGTTGAATAAATTAGAAACTGGAAAAACATGACAGGCCACAGTGGTTTGCTCATTTATGTCTTATAAATCAAATATTTTGTTGATATAAGAAGCAAGCATGTCAAATTTTTTATTTTCGCCATCCATTTTGAAGATGCGTTATACCTCATGATAAATGGTTATCAGAAAACCAATGAAGTAAATCACTTACATATCTGACTGAAAGATAAAACTTTTCAAAGCATTTTATCGACTTAGAAAACTTTGCAGGGATATAAAACAAAAAAGATTTTCTAATTTTCATTCTTTAAATTTTTTTATGCACTTTTTAAAGATGATATTTTTTTGCTTTCGCTTACATGGTGTCAGCCAATTCTGTGATGTTTTGCCCCAGTGAAGTTCAGGGCTTATCAGGCTACCTGCAGAAATGGAAATGTTATATTGTAGTGGATGGGAAAACAGCTTGAGTAGTAAGGCACAAGCCTAGCATGTCCAAGACCCTTGATCTTCGACACTGGTTTGCCCCCTCAAAACCATCAGTAGCCTTGATGGCCCCAATCAGAAAAATTTGCTTTAGATGGTCATTATAGTATTTAATGCTTTATTTATAGCAGCTATAGTAGGTGGAGCTAGTGCCAGGAGTCAAACACAGTGCCTCTCACATGCTTGGAGGTAAGTGCTCTACCACTGGATCCATCTCCTGACCTCAGTATTTTAATATGCTGATGCAGGCCTACTAAGGAATGTTGATCAGAATACTAAGGAATGTTGATCAGAAGGAAGTTTCAATTAAACTAGAGCCCTGTAAGGGGTCGGAGAGATAGTACTGCCGATTAGGTGCTATTTGCCATATTGTCACTCCTAGGGCGTTTACACGTGCTCTGATCTTTTTCTGGTTAAGTTAGCCCTTCAGTTCTCTCAGCACTGCTTAAACAATCCTTTCCTCAGAGAAGCGTTCAGGTGCTAGATAAACCCTCCTGATTTAGACATTCAAAGCCACATGTTTCTTTGTAGTACTTATTTTAGGTGCAATTTTCTATTCACTTTAGGGTGATTATTTGCTAAATGTTTCTCTTCATTTAAATGCTGGGAGTTCCTTGACCATCCATTTTTTTTTTAAATTTTTTTTTTAATTTTAATTTTTTTTTTACAGTTGTAGATTTACAATTTTTTGTGCTTGGGTTTCAATTACACAATGATCAAATACCCATCCCTCCACCAGTGCCCATTTTCCACCACCATGGATAATATCCCATTATGCTGCTCACATTCATCTTCCTTATTACTTAGAAGCATTTCCCAAGTGGGACATACTGCCCCCCAGTGGGCTGTGGGATGAGCCAAGGTGGTAGAAGTGCTGGGTACAATTAGAAGATACACACTTTGCTTATTAACTTAAAGAAAATAGATTGGAGTGGAGGGTAGGCACTAAGTGTTTTTTTCCTTTTAATTTTGTTTAATTGTTTTCTAAAAAGGTAGGTCAAATAGGTTTGGGAACTTCTGCCAAGTGCTGTCACATGGTAGTCATGAATAAGAAGAAATGAATGCATGCATGTATTCATGAACGGATCTGAGGTAAGAAGCAGGGTGGGGAAATTATACGGAACTTTTCTGAGAAAGTGCTGATCAGAGGGTTAGCTGGCATGGAAACAAGGACTGGATTTATCTTATTATTTTCTCCCGAGGTTAGAACATGGGCATCTCTTTTTGGGAGATCAGAGTTCAACTCATTGTATACAAATATACTAGTGAATTTATCTTTTATTTTAAATGTTTTTAATGTCTAGTCAATGAGTTTTCTTTTAATCCAATTTAGTCCAGTCATTGTTGACTACAGGGCTACCTGAGATCAAGCCTGGACACCAGCTGAGGTCACATGGAGGTTGGGGTTGCTGAGGAAGGAGCTTAGTCACTTTAGGGTTCATCCATCCAAGTCTGAGAACATGAGACCCCAACAAGTGCTGAGCTCATGGAAAGTAATGTTGCAGGACAGGAGAAAAGGCATAAGAGTTGCAGTATTATATAGAGGTGAGGGGGTTAAGGGTAGTGAAACTTCTAGCCAGACTTCCTGATTTAGCATCCTAATGGAAGTTTGAGATGTGCAGGAGGCAAGAGAAAGAAATAAAGGACATATAGACCACTGAGGAAAAAAATAAATATCTAACATAAGCCTCTTGTCCCATAGATAAGATAATGGTTGTGTCTAGTTTCTCCATCTCTGTTATTTCATCTTGGAAAAACTGTTTCCTTGCAAGCAGTCTTCAGCAAATAAGGGTTCCTTTTACACTGGAGAAGAGGGAGCTGGTCTTCTTGCAGAAACCCCAAAATGGGATCAGGTGGGCTTAATCATTGGAACTAGAATGACACTGTTCATGGTAGAGAAGTGTTTACTGAATATAGGCTATATATATGTGTATACTAGGTATTTTGTTTTCTCATTTATTATCTATTTCTTCCTTTTCTCTGTCACTCTCATCATCCTGCTTCTGTTCTCAAGTCTCTCTCTGCCCTGAACTAGATCAGATTGGGGCTGGGAAATAGGAGAGATGAGGGCAGGGTTAGAGGAACTTGAGGGAAAGTAGTCTTTGTAAGTGTCTATAGTAGGGTGAGGGAAAATTATGAAATTCCTAACAGTAGGAAGGATAGAAACTTGATTTGGCCATCCAGCTTCCTTCTGATAGCCTGCATTTCCACCTTTAATAAAAACACTCTTCTGTGGCAGGTCAGGGCATTTGGAAATGTATGTATTATCCAGTGTCCAGTTCTTTCTTGTCTTTTTCCTTTTTTCTTAATTCTTTCCACAGAGTCTCAGGGTTTTAGTTACCATAAAAGTACCTTTTCTTGTTACATGCGATCCTTTTTATTTTTCTTAAAACTTTCTCACTTCCCAAACCAGAATCTTTATGGGAAGATTCAAAATTATTTAATCATTTTCAAGGATCACTATTTCTTTTATTTTTAAATATTTCATGTATATTCTATAGCTGCATTTGAGGAAAGTGCAGATGTCCTTATGAAAGCAGCTTTTTTTAGTGCTAAAAACATTAGGTAATTACAATGGCTTGTTAGGATTCTCTAATGATGTTCATCTCTTTCCGCCCGTGGCCCAAAGCTGTCAATTGCTGAAGACTCTTAGGCTGGATGTCAGTGACCTTATGGTTGTCAGGTTGAACTTTCTCTTTTGTTTGATGTCAGTAGCTTTTGTGGGACTTCAATCATTTATATATATAAAGAATGGAAAAATTGAAGCCAGAGACTCCCATGGACACAAAGGGAAATGATATTCTGATGCTAAATGCCAACATACCCTTTCTTAGAGGATGATTTTTAAATAAGCATAAAAAATATTTCAGGTAAAATATAAGTAACTATATAATATTCACAGAAAGCTATGTCTGGCAGTTTTAATTGCTTGTATCTTCTTGTTAGACGTAAAAGAACTCGAGGGGGTTGGAGCGATAGCACAGTGGGTAAGGCATTTGCCTTGCATGTGACTGACCCGGGCTCAATTCCCAGCATCCCATATGATCTCCCGAGCACCGCCAGGAGTGATTCCTGAGTGCAGAGCCAGGAGTAACCCAAGGGTTACATTGCCAGATGTGACCCAAAAAGCCAAAAAAAAAAGGAGTAAAAGAACTTGAGATTTTATCCCCATTCCTTTCTCTAGAAGGGAAAAGAAAATTTCTGGTACAGCTTATCCTCTGGAACTTGCTGAATGGTTTGTTTTCTATTGTCAGATAAATACTTTTATTCTTGCCATATTCATTAATTCTGCAGATATGTAGTAGGCACTTAGACTATGTAACAGGCACTGGGATGAGTTCTATGTTTTAGGAGGTAAATATGGATATGATTCATTTTGATTACCTTTCTGCATCTCTATTATTTCACCTTGGAAAATCTGGAATGATGGTTAGGCACTCTTTTTCTATCTGAAAATCCAGTTGTTCCACCAGCATTTAGGAGTGTATCTTTCCTTAATTGAATTATATTGAAAAATTCTCATAAATATAAATTTACTTATAAGCTCTATAATCTATTTCCTTGATCTCTGTGTTCATCCTATATCATTACCACACTGTCTTAATTACTATAATGTTAAAGTAGGAGGATGAATTTGCCAACACATTTTTTACTAATACTATTTTGATATTCCAGTCTTTTGAATTATCATATAATTTTTTAAATATCATTTCTAAAGAAAAAGTCTATTTGGATTATAATTAGGATCTTGTTGAACATATTGATTAATTTGGAAGGAATTTCCACCTGATTCAACTCAGCTGTAGGAAGAGAAGAAATATTTCCTTTTGCTACAACATGGATGGAATTGAATGTGAAATAATGTATTCAGGGAAATACAAATTCAGTATAATCTCACTCAAATGTGGTACATAAAGAAATTATGCCAGGGAAGAGTTAATATCCAGTGAAAACAAAAACACTATGAGTGCAGAGTTAAAGTTATAAAAGGGCAGGAAGAGTGGACTGAGAGGGCGTAGTGGACTGTGATGGAGGGATATTAAAATTTCTGGGATGTTTCCCATATGACTGTCACATTTTCTTTTATTGGTAGGTTATGGTGGCTATGGCTTGTGGGATAGAGTGAAATTGCCATAATCTGAAAAAGGACTATTTCCTTGTGTCCTCCTCCTATGTGAGATGGCTGAACAACAAAACACAATTAAGGTGGTGGCCACACTGTGGCAACATACAAGCATTTACATTCTTTGGAAAAAAACAGTGCTACTGCAATAAAAATTAATGTTAAAAAATTATGCATTTCTGGTCCATGACAGTGGTAGCCCTCTCTGTTTTTTAGACTTTGATGTTTCAATGTCTGGAACCCAGTAGTGGGTACCTCCAGGGTCATACCTTGGCAGAGTCATGTAGTGCCAGGGCGTGAATCTAGTTCCTTGAAAATTCTTGGTATGTGTCCTACCATTTAAGCCATATTCCTGGCTTTATACTTACCATTTCTATTTCCAACACTCTCAATTTCATGTATATAAAAGTTTCATTTCTAGCTTTTATTTTCCCTCCTACTTGAAGAATTTTCTTTACAATGTTTTAAAATATGGTCTGAAGAGATAATACAGGGGTTAAGGTGCTTGCTTTGCGTGCAGTCATCCATGGTGTGATTCACAGCTTAGTTCAACCACATATGATCACTTGGTCAACTGCTAGGAGTGACCTCTGAGTAGTCCCTGAGCACCCTGGGGCCCATCTCCCTCCCCAAATAAAAGCAAAATAAATTTTACTAAAAAACGATGATCTATTCTGTTTCTATGAATTTCCTTATTCTGGACATTCATATAAATGATCTTATATAATACATTGTCCTTTGTAACTGTTTACTGTCAATTTCACTTGTATAATGTGTTCGAAGTTTATCCACGTTGTGCTATGAATCACTATCTCCTTGTTTTTTTTCTCATCCAAGTCTTTGACACACACATTCTTTTTATACATGAAGTTAATAACATTTTAATTGTTCTTCTTTTAGGCTATTATGAATAATGTTGCTGTGAGTATTCCTGAACAAGTCTTTTTCTGGACATATGTTTTAATTTCTCATTGAAATTTCTCTAGAAGTTGAATTTTACATCTTATAATTTTTGGTTTGACATTTTAAGTCTCAAATCAGCATTTTCTATTCCCTCTCTCTTACCTCCCCTAACCAAAGGATGAATATTATAATTTCTCAACTCATTGACAACACCTATTACCTATTTTTTAAATTAAAGTTTCTCCTCAGAAAGTAAAAAAAAAATAAAGTTTCTCCTCAAAATAAATAGCAGTACTCCTGTAAAATCTTATCACGCCGAAGGTTGTATGTTCACGGGCTCACTGGACAGCACTGTTTCACCGCCTGCGTTCGGTGCTCTTGAGCCACTGTGTGTGGCCTGGATCGGAACGGCTGTTGGCCAAGGGCAGACGGAAGAAAAAACGGGGGCCAGGCCGGTCTATATCAATAGTAGTTTATTCTAATCCTCTTCACTCCTGTCTTTCTCTGCCTCCTTCTCTCCTGGGCCCCAGTCTTGGAAGCTCTCTCCTTCTGGCTCTGACTCTGGATCTCTGGAACCTGAGCTCTCTCACTTCTGACCCCCTTTTCCGAGCTTACGTCTTAGTTTATATAGCAGTCACATAAGGCGGTGACATAAAGGTGGGTTGAATACTGACGAATCAACAAAGAGAGGTAAGACCAATCCTCCAGGAGACTAACTCAAGGATAAAATCTCATCTACAGAGATTACTTCAGATTACTAGGAGATCCACCCAAGGGTGGGATCCCAACAAGGGTGTGTTCTTCCTTCAGTTAGTAATCTACTTAAATAGTTGTAATAAATCTACTTCTAATATTTCTAGCAATGTCATTCTGTATGAGCACAGTAAGAGATATAAATTTAGTTTGGTTCTTCCTGAGAACATCTCACTATACATTTCTCAGTCCTCAGGCCAGGTTAATCTTCCTAGCTCCAGCAGGGTCCTAGTCTTGTCGTTACTTACTTTTGGATCATGACAGCATTTGTCCATGATCATGCCCTCAACTTATAGTTGAGTATCGTGGCTCTTTGGCCTGGCCCATTTCGATGCCAGGGTAGCTCACTGCTTGCCCTGGGTCCATTCAGTCCCTCGTCGGGACCCTGCTTTTGGGGTGCTAGGAACTAAGGGCAACTGAGTCAAGAAATCAGATTTCCAGGAGTAAATATTATTCGGAGTCAATCAACTCCCAAGTTACAAAGCATAATATTAACTGTCTTCCTGTGTCCACACAGAAAGGACATTGCTTACAATACAAGTTCAGTGTTCTTAGATGGGTGTGACCTGACAAACCTAAGCTACCTGAGGAAGGACAAAAGAGTGTTATCCTACATACTCCTGCATTAAAAAGAAAAAGAAAAACAAAATAAAAAAAGTTTTGCCTCAAATGTTAAACAGCATCTGATTGTGTTTGATTTGTAGTTCTGTCATAACTAGTGATGTTCAGTATCTTTTTATGTTCACAATGGCTACAAGCATTTCTTTCCCATTTATAAACTGAATTATCTGTCTTTTCTTGTTGAGTTTCAAGAGTTCTTTATATATTTTGCATGATTTGAAAATATTATTTTCCGAATCTGTGGCTTGTCTTTATTATTTCTTAATGCTATACTATTTTTATGTGGTGCTGGGTTCGAACCCTGGACCTTCACATGCAAGGCCCAGACTCTATTGCTGAACCACCTTACTGGCCCTTTTTTTTAAATTTTTTTTTTAATAGTGAGACATTATGAGGTACAGTTGCAGACTTACACATTTTTGTGCTTGGGTTTCAATTATACAATGATCAAATACCCATCCCTCCACCAGTGCCCATTTCCCACCACCACGGATCCCAGTATCCCTCCCACCCCCCATCCTCCCCTTCCCACCCTGCCTCTGTGGCAGGGCATTCCCTTTTGTTCTCTCTCTCTTACTGGGTGTTGTGGTTTGCAAAAGAGGCAATGGGTGACAATCATGTTTAGTCTATAGTCTACTTTCCGCATGCTTCTCTCACTGGCCCTTTTAATGGTATTTTTGAAGCACAAACATTTAAAATTTTGTTGGTCTGTTATTTTGTTGGGTTGGAGTGATAGCACAGCGGGTAAGGCCTTTGCCTTGCACATGGCCAATCTGGGTTTAATTCCTCCACCCCTCTCGGAGAGCCTGGCAAGCTACCGAGAGTATCTCACCCCCCGCCACAGCAAAGCCTGGCAAGCTACCCGTGATGTATTTGATATGCCAAACACAGTAACAACAAGTCTCACAATTTGTTGTGAGACATTACTGATGCCCGCTCGAGCAAATCAATGAACAATGGGAGGACATTGCTACAGTGCTATTATTTCGTTATCTTTGGTATCATTTATAAGAAGGTATAATCTTGCCTATTACAAGATTTTAAAGATGTATCCATATGCTTTCCCTAAAGGTTTATATTTTAAACCATATTAAAGTCCCTGATTCATTTTGAATTAATTTTGTTTATGTTATAAAGAAGGGCTCCAGCTTGATTATTTTGCACATGGTCATCCAATTATTTCAGCACTATTTGTTGAGAAAATTATTTTCTCAATGGATTTTATTAGCCAATGTATCAAAAATCAATTAATCATAAGTATGAAAGTTTATTTCTGGATTCCCCTAAATAATTTTATTGATTGATATGTTGATATAATGCTACAGTTTTTTGATTAATGGAGATTTGTTTTAAGTTTTGAAATAGAAAAGTTCGAGTTTTCCAACTTTCTCTCTCTCTTTTTTTTTTTCCTTTTTGGGTCACACTCAGCGATGCTCAGGGGTAACTCCTGGTTCTGCACTCAAAAATTACTCCTGGCGGTGCTTGGGGGACCATATGGAATGCTGGGAATAGAACCCAGGTGGGCCAACCCAGGTCAGCCTCATGCAAGGCAAGCGCCCAACTCCAGCCTCCCAACGTTCTCCTTTTCAGGAACATTGTGACAGTGTGGAGACTTCTAAAAAAAATAATAATTGATCTTCGTATGCCTCAGCATTTCTACTTCTTGGCATTTATCCCAAAGGTCCAAATAAAGCATTTGCATTCTTACAGTTGTTATTCACAATAGCCAAGATTTGGAAACAACCCAAGTGTCCAAAAATACATGAGTGGATAAAGAAACTGTAAAATATATACAACTCAAGTATATGAAAAGATGAAATAATGACTTTTTCTGCTACGTAGAAAGAACTAGAGAGTATCATACTGAGTGAAATGAGTCAGGAGAGAAACGAATTAAAAATGATTTCTCTCCTATGTGGTATATAAAGAGATACAGTAAGGAAGTAACAATTGAATAATGTCAATAAGTCCTGAAAAAAATCTAGAATTAAAAATAATAGCTTTATAAAAGTTATGTCTTATAATTCTACCCTCAGTGTCACTTCTGGATATTTTTTGACCAACTTTGCTCCAGTTGTGATCTGTATTTTTTTGGTTCTTGTTTGTATCTCCCCAATCCTTGTTCTGTGGTCTAAAAAGTGCCTTCAGGCAGAAATATGGGTAATTAGAGTTCACTTTGTTTGTTTTCCTGCTCTTAAAGACTATAGTGCTATGGCTGCTTATTGTCCAATATCTTAAAGCTGTTTAACATACTTTTCCTACTTTTCTATTTAGGGAATGGGTAGGATGAGAAAGAATGATTCTTGTTCTGGTTACCACATCATAACCTATTATATTTTTATATATAATTTTATCTTTTTGTTTTGTTTTGTTTTGGGCCACATCTAGCAATGCTCAGGGATTATTCCTGGCTCTGTGCACAGGAATTACTCCTGGTGGTGCTTAGGGGACCACATGAGATGCTGGGGACTGAACCTGGGTCAGTCGCATTCAATGCAAATGCCCCACCCTCTGTATTACAGCTCCAGCTCTATAATTTTATTCTTATTCCCTCTGTTCTGATTCACTATACTCTTATCAATCTAGATATAAATTAATTCCCAACATTTCTTTTTCATTTGATTCCTTTCCTATATCTCTGTTTCTGTCTCTGTCTCTATTCCTGGGTTGATACTTAGAGGTCGTTCCTGGTTGTGGTGCCTGGGAGACCATGTGGTTCTGGGGATCAGTTCCTGGCCTTCTGCATACAATAATCCTTTGACTTATTTCCCTGCCCCAAGAGTAATTTTTGAAGTAATAAAATTTGTTGATAGTTATAAAACTAAGTATTTTCTGGTCACAATCTCATGTAAATACTTAAAAATAATATTTTCTTACATTACCTTCACATGCTGAAGTTGGTTATCAACTGCTATGAGCTGACTAAGATTCTCCAGGATTTCTAAATCTTTTATGTCATCAATGTTATTATTGCTGATATTCAATACAGAGAGGGATTTCTGTAAAAAAATAGTAAATTTGCAATTTTTATTTTAATTAAATGCCATATCTAACCAGAAATTCTAACTGTGAAAAAGTTCTTCGCTCTTTAGGCAAATATGTATATTTAAATATGGTTATACTGTTTCTTTGTCATTATTTTCTGGTGGAATTTTATAATTAAAATAATTATGAGAGAAATTACTATTTTTATTTATAGTTCCTTTTTGGGCTGGAGCAATAGCACAGCAGTAGGGCATTTGCCTTGCCCACGGCTGGTCTGGCCTGGCCAGGTTCGATTCCTCCACCCCTCTCGGAGAGCCCGGCAAGCTACCAAGAGTATCTAGCCTGCACGGAAAAGCCTAGCAAGCTCCCTGGGATATATTCGATATGCCAAACACAATAGCAAGTCTCACGATGGAGATGTTACTGGGCCCACTCGAGCAAATCAATGAGCAGTGGGAGGACAGTGACAGTGACAGTGCAGTTCCTTTTTAAGTTCAATATGCCTCTTTCAGTATGTAAGAGAAATTGGTGGGGGGTGGCTGGAAAGGAAACCAATGCTCCAGTAAAGGTAAGGGTAAAGGTCCTCCCGTTGATCGTCGATTTGCTCGAGCGGGCCCAGTAACGTCTCCTTTGGAGACTTTGTTGTTACTGTGTCTGGCATATCGAATACTCTTGGTAGCTTGCCGGGCTCTCCGAGAGGGGCAGAGGAATCGAACTTGGGTCGGCCATGTTGGCTGCGTGCAAGGCAGACGCCCTACCCGCTGTGCTATCGCTCCAGTAACAAACCAATATAGAAAAAAAATGCTATTTCACTTTAATCAAATTGTCATTTTGTGTTAAATATCACTAAGATCTGTATTTAATAGAAATTTTCGTTGTTTTTCTAAGTAGGAAATATGACCAAGAATGAAAGTTTATCTGGTTTTTATTTTTATTGTTACCTCTCTAGTTTTCCCTTGACAACACATATGTTCAGAAGCAACATAAAATAATAATTAGCAAGTTTTACATCAACTGTTAATGAGGATAGAAGTACATAATAGAGCTACACTAAATCTAAATCATTTAAAACTCTAAGGCCCAGGAGGAATTTATAGCCAGATGGCATCTACCCACCAAGGTGTCAACACATATCCAACCATTAGAGAAAGGACTTTCTGATACTATTTAAGACTTGAAATGCAGTTTTAAAATATGACAAAATTTGCTGGAGAGATAGTACAGCAGGTAGGACGCTTGTCTTGCATGTGGCCAAACCAACCTTGGCAGCCCATATACCTTCAGGAGTAATTCCTTAATGGAAAGCTAGGAGTAACCCCTGAGCATTGCTGGTTATGGCCCCCAAACAAAAACAAAAACAAAAACAAAAAAAAGACAAAATTTACTTGCATTTATGGGGGAAAAAAAGCCAGCATAAATGTTTTCAGTGGCATTTAAAAACAAAATTTGACCTAAGAAATGAAAGCATGGTTAGGGGTTCTGGAACATTCAAATCTACTCATTCAGTATTATTTTGACTTCTACTAGTTATTCCTAAAATTAGATATTTAAGGGCTAGAGCGAAAGCACAGCAGTGGGACGTTTTCCTTGCACGCGGCCAACTTGGCCGACCTGAGTTTGATTCCTCTGCTCCTCTCGGAGAGCCCAGCAAGCTACTGGGAGTATTTTGCCCACACAGCAAAGCCTGGCAAGCTACCCGTGATATATTCGACATGCCAAACACAGTAACAACAAGTCTCACAACGAAGATATTACTGGGCCCGCTCAAGCAAGGGGAGGACAGTTTATAGAAGTCTACTTGGATTAATTCAGGTTGAGTTGAGGTTGATTTACAGGAAATTAAAGAGGTCATTCTTCTTTTCTATTGAAAGCACTATTCCTCATTGTTATATATTTGGCTGTAAAACAGTTTATTACCTTTTGTTTCTGGGCCTCAAAATAAAATGAACAAAATCTGTAAATATCATATATATCCTTTGTTCCAAACTTAAGGTAGCATAGCCTAACAAACCCTTTGTTTTGAAAATTAGCAAAGGACTTCATGGTGCTGCCACCTTTTCACTTCATTGAGAAAACCCTGTCATATGACTTGTCAGTTGAAAATGGGCATGTGTGGTATTCCCGGAGTTACCTGCACCCAGCAAGACAGCTAAATAGAGTGCAACCTAAATCAAATCAGAGATCAATTGACTTATGATAAGTGACTTGTTGTAATGACTTTCTAGTTTTCAAAAATTTTGCCAAATGGTTGTAGTCTTTCTTCCCTTAGACTTTTTCCTAAAATTAAAATGTTTTAGTTTCCCATAATTAATTGTGAATAAATTGGTATCTGTATACCTAATTCTTTCATACACCTATTCTTTTGATCTGTGCCATCATTCCTAAAATAACATGCATCATTTCCCCCACTTTATAAGTGCTGAATCTTTGAGAAAGCTCATATAGAAAAAATTAATTTCAGCACTTAAACGCTCAACTGGCCATATAAATATGCAGAGTACATAGAATGTCCAAATAAGCCTTCACCACCTTCCTGTTCCATTATAACTGTTAATTACATATGTCAGATTGTTCTAATAATTATTCTATTCCTTACTGCTAGAGAATGAAGAGTTCTTGGGTCAAAAAGAAGCTTTTCTCCAAGGGGAAGCCTCTGACTCTCAATGTGCAGCTCTCTCAGTTCTTCTAATCCTTCCAAACCTTCTAAGACAGCAATGTAATTGCCTCCCAGATACCTGCAAAATATGAAAAATGATTTTAAAGTTATATCATGAGAATGTCATTTTCTGTAAAAATGACAAAAATCACTGAAATATGTGTAGGGCTGGGGCGATAGCAGAGCGGGTAAGGCGTCTACCTTGCACGCGCTGACCTGGGTTCTATCTCCAGCATCCCATATGGTTCCCTGAGCACTGCCAGGAGTAATTCCTGAGTGCAGAGCTAGGATTAACTGCTGTGTATCACCAGGTGTGACCCCCTCCCCCTCAAAAAGCAAAAAAAATCACTGAAATATGTGAACTTTATATTACAGAACATACTCTTATAAGAAATCAGTGAGAAAGTTGTTATACTATTAGATACTTGTTATGCTATTAGTTGTTATACTATTTACTAGTTTGCTCATATATTAGGGTACTAAAGTATCATCTGGGTTGTCAGTTTCAAATGAAGATCTTTATGCCTGCCCTCCAGAGATTCTGGTTTGGCCTAGGTTGGAACTGAGTCTGCTCTAGTTTATAATTAAGTAATATTAATTTTTAATTATTTTTGGGGAGGTTAGGGTGTTGGAGCAATACCCTTCTGCTCAGAGCTCACTCCAGGCTCTGTGCCTGGGGAATTGCTTCTGGCAGTGTTTAGGGGAATTATATGCAGTGTCCAGTACAGAACTGACGCTGCTTATGTCCAAGATAAATGCCTTAACTTCTTTACTATCTCTTCAGCCTTTGTAATATGAACTTTTAGTAAACATTTCTCATCCCATTACTTCCACCAAATATTAAACCCTTAGCCTATTTTTTGAGAAGTCCTGGTAGTTTCTCCAATCTTGTGAAATTTAGCCCACCAAGTCTTCATTGTCTAACTAAAATAATCATAGGCAGCACATACTTTTTCTTCATTTTAGGTTTTGGGGGTCTCACCTATCAATGCCTGGGTGTGGGTGTGGGGTCTCCTGTCTCATGGGTTGGTACTCAGGGGACCACCATGTAATGCCAGAGTCCCAGGAGGCAAAGCATGATATCCAACCCACTAAACAACCTTTCTGATGCAAAAAATACTTGAACAGTAAAATCTACATCAAATTTAACAATCTATGACTCCAACCTTCTGAGATGTATGATTCTGAAAGGCACAGAAGCATTAGGGTGTGGAAACATTTTTTCCACCTAAGCGTACATAAAAATGTCCTGTAAACAATTCATTATCCCGCAACATCAAAATACATCAGGCTGGGGGCTGGAGCAATAGCACATCGGGTAGGGCATTTGCCTTGCACGTGGTTGACCCGGTTCAATTCCCAGCATCCCATATGGTCCCCCGAGCACTGCCAGGAGTGATTCCTGAGTGCAAAGCCAGGAGTAACCCCTGAGCATTGCAGGATGTGACCCAAAATGAAAAAAAAAAATTACATCAGACTTAATAAAGCACAATTTGTCATGTATTGCATGTGAAAATTATTTTGTTTTTAGTAATATTAGAGAATAAAAAATTGAGGCCTGTTCCTGCAAAAAAATGGAAATGTAAAATTATCATTGTAAGATGACTAACTTAAGAATAAAAAAACTTACAATTTTTCCAGTTTCTTCAATGACCGGAGGTTGTCGATACATGAAATACAATTATTTTGTAGATACAGGTGAGTCAGATTTGTAGCATAATTTAAGTTAGAAATTTGACTGATATTGTTATCATACAAATATAAAACATTAAGACTTTTGCAGAGAGAGAGATTGTCCTGAAAGGAGAAAAAAGGGTTGTATTTAATTTTTCCTGAAAACTTAAAGAGCAGCACTTCTCTGTCCTTGGTATAGTCAAGACCAGAATGAATACAAATATTAGTTCTAGATTTTAGTATTCTGAACAATATCAGTAAAATCATGCTGTTAAGATTTTTTTCCTAATGTAAGCAGTTTAGTAGTGATTAGATTCTTCTGGAGGTCAAAGTATTTAATAAATTATTGCTCCAGTATTATAAACTATGGTTTAATTTTTCTTGTAGCATTTAAGGTAAATTATTATCACTTATAATACTAAAAATTAGAAGTCATCTGGGCTGGAGCGATAGCACAGCGGTAGGGTGTTTGCCTTGCATGCAGCCAACATGGCCGACCCAAGTTCGATTCCTCCGCCCCTCTTGGAGAGTCCGGCAAGCTACCGAGAGTATCTTGCCCGCAGGGCAGAGCCTGGCAAGCTACCCGTGATGTATTCTATATGCCAAACACAGTAACAACAAAGTCTCCAATGGAGACATTACTGGGCCTGCTCGAGCAAATTGATGAACAATGGGAGAACAGTGACAGTGACAGAAGTCATCTATTCAAGAGCAATGAATTAATAAATTATAAAAATGCTTTGAAGAGAATATTGTGGAACTATTAAATATCCTTTAATAACATTTTGTAGAACTTAGAGTAAAATAAAACAATAATTCAATATTGTAAAATTATATGAATAAGTTCTTGGGAAAAAAATAGAGGACAATAACCTAAATGCTAAGAGTGGTCTATATCTCTATATGGTAAGATTGTAAATTACTTTCTTTATCTTCAATGTTTTATATACATGAACACCACTTACACTTGAGCTAAGAAAATAAAGGTATTTTCTCTTATTTTGTGGTGGTGGTGGGGTCTTGGGCCGTATGTGGCTCTGCTCAGGACTTACAGACTTTATGATCAGGGATCACTCTTGCAGTGTACAAGGGACTGTATGTGGTATCCAGGCACATCGCTTGCGAGACCTCACACCGCTTGCAATACCTCAAAGGTATTTTCTTTTATAGGGGCCTCCAGCAGGTGCTTAGCAGCAGCATGAAGTGCCAGGAAGAAGACTCAGTGCCTCATGCAGGTAAAGAATACACTCTACCCATTGAGTTATCTCTCTGGTTCAAAAGTATTTTAAAAGACAGTGTAATTTCTTGTATTGATGTAAAGTCAGCTTACAGTAAATTGTGAAGTTCTGTTAAAAAATATCTCAGCTTTATGTCCAGAGGATAGTACAGCAGGTAGGGTTCTTGCCTTGCATGCTATACCTGATACCACACATGGTTTTCTGAGCCCTGCGCGGAGTAAGCCCTGAGCACCCACGGCATAGCTCAAAAAACAAAAAGCAAACAATGGTGTTTCTGTTGAGGATATTTTAAAATACAATCATATATCTTGGGAAGTTAAATTTTACAAATCACTCTTTTTTTTTTTTAATGTAGGAGTACTGCTATTTATCCAGCCACTGATTAAGCTGACCGAACCAGGCATGAACTCCACATTACTTTTAACATTTTGTTGAATATCTGTGAGATCATTACAAAGACAAATTACTCTTTTTTGTGAGTTATTTTTCCACTTTGCTCTTTTCTTTAGAAAGGAGCTCATTTGCCCGAGAAAGCTCATTTGTAAGGGGGCAAAAGCACATTAAATAGGGACTTTAGCAAGCACTAAGTATACAGTGTGATGAGGCTGCTGCAAAGGAGAAATGGGAGGTTTGGGCAATGGGAGTCATGGGAAGACAGCTCTCCAGGGACCTACAGACAGATAAAGTGAGGAGCTAGGGCTCTGACGAGGCAGGAGAGAGCATGTCTGTAAAACTACAAAACAGAAGTTTTTGAACTTATGTGGCTTACTGCTCCCTTTGAGAAAAAAAATTACTCAGGACCCCCTAGAACAAATAAAGTGTGCTCCAGTGGCACCCAAGCCTACTACTGTCCCCAGAATCATTCCGGCATCTCTGCAGGAGGGTGGAATTGCCCACTTCAGAAAGACTGTTACAGAATTTGTAGTTAATCCCTTAATACCTCTATATGTAAAGAATTCATCATATCCATCACCAAAATTTCAGTGCTTTCACACCACAAAAAAGGCCTCTCTATTATTCCATGTCATGTTATCGTTGCAGGACTAGGGCTACCCCTGGAAGAGTTTAGGGGAGTAGGAGGCACAGATTCTGGGAATGGAACTCTCAAGGCTTCAAACATGCAAGGCATATTTTTTATCCTGGCATGTTTTGGGCTTCTAGAAATAACCGTGGTTGCTGAATATTTCTATATATTAAGATTCAAATTCCAAGTTTCTGCAAGTATTTATCTTTGGAATAATTTTTCAACATACATGTTCAAGTCTATTTTAGTTTAATAAAGAGTATCTTAGGGAAACATATATATTTAACATGTTACAACTCACCATAGTAAAATCTTAGACTTAATTTTATTATTTTAAAATTATTCTTTAATGGGGCTGGAGCGATAGCACAGCAGGTAGGGCATTTGCCTTGCACACGGCCGACCCGTGTTCGATTCCCAGCATCCCATATGGTCCCCCAAGCACCACCAGGAGTAATTCCTGAGTGCATGAGCCAGGAGTAACCCCTGTGCATCACCGGGTGTGACCCAAAAAGCAAAAATATATATATTCTTTAAAGTTATTTTTTGTTTAATATTTTGGCTTTTTGGGTCACACCCAAATGAAATGCTCAGGGGTTACCCTAGCTCTGCACTCAGGAATTACTTCTGGTGGTGCTTGGGGGACCTTATGGGATGCCAGGGATGGAACCCAGGTCGGTTGTGTACAAGGCAAACACCCTACCCACTGGGCTATCGGTCCCGGCCCTAGACTTAATTTTGATAAAAATTAAGAAATTAAAATGAAGACACCATAAAACTGGCTAATAAGGTATAATTAATAAGTATAATGAAAATAGTTAGTAAGAAAGTATGCCTGTATACTAATTTCTAAACTTCATATTGTTGACTATATAAAAATAGAAATAACCTCAGAATTCTTACAATTTCATCTATGTTTTTTCCTGAAAAATTTATATGAGTTATTTTCTTCAGGTATTGTGAAGTGGCTTCTTCTTTTCGGAGCTTAAGATTGCTGTTTTTGGCAATTAGATTCAAGGTCAGCCGAACCATGATTTCTCTATAATTCAAAATCAGCAATAGCTCTGTTCTGACACCATATTAAGAGGCAGGTTTGGATATTGTTTAATGTCCACTTTCTAAAATTGGGGGGGAAAAAGAAGTGTTATATACATAGAAATTTAGGGAAAATTATTTTGACTTAAAGTTTTATGTAAATTTATTTGTTTATGTTCCAACACCCATTCCTTCAGCAGTGTACACATATCACCAACATGTCCCCAGTCTCCTTTCTACCCTCCACTCCACTCCCCCCGGAACTCTTCTCTTTTCTTTTCTTCTTTTCTTTTCTTCTTTTCTTTTCTTTTTCTTTTCTTTTCTTTTCTTTTCTTTTTTTCTTTCCCTTCCATCCTCCCTCCCTCCCTCCCTCCCTCCCTCCCTCCTTCCTTCCTTCCTTCCTTCCTTCCTTTTCTTTCCTTTCTCAATTCTCTCCCTCCCTCTCTCTCCCTCTCCCTTTCCCTCTCCCTCTCCCCCTCTCCCCCCTCCTCCCCCTCCCCTTCCCTCCCCCTTCCTCCCCTCTCCCTCCCTCCTTCCTTCCCTCCTTCCCTCCTTCCCTTCTTCCCTTCCTTCCCTTCCTTCCTTTCCTTCCTTCCTTCCTTCCTTCCTTCCTTCCTTCCTTCCTTCCTTCCTTCCTTCCTTCCTGATATTATAGTTTGCAATACAGATACTGAAAGGTAAGTCTATTTTAAAATAATATTGAATAGACTTTTTAATGACAATTAGGTATTTTTTAAGTCTACAATTTAATATAAAATACTTTAAACACTGAAGTCAACAAGCAGTTTCACTTAAAAATCTAGTATTGAATGACTGTTAGCATGTGGTAATGAATTAGTTTCCTTTTTATAATTGAAAAAGACTTTAAGGAATATCATCTAAATGTCTTCACATAAAGCTATTACGGTCAAGAGTTTAATCTTAAACTGCTCAAGGTAGTTTGTATCCAAAGATTATACAGAATGCAAAATATAATCTACAGAATAAAATTATTAAACTTTTTTAATTTTTAAAACTTGCACAAATTTGTTATTTTCAGAATAAATGTTTTAGGTTATTTATGGACTAAGTTTCAAACATGATACAATATTCTGATTTCTAATTAAGTAAAAGTAAGTTTTATTAATTTTGCATTAAAATATTTTATGATGAAGTGTAAGAAATAAAGAATAACACTATACCCAGTTTAACAAATACAAAACATTATAAGTACTTTGGAGTCACTATATACCTTCACCTTCTGTATTCTCTTAGTTTATCTCAGACAACCCTATTTATGTCTTGTGCTTTTCACAGTTGTATATCTAAACAATGTATATTTTATTTCATAAGTAGTATTGTTCTAATTTTCTCTTGTTTTTGAGAATCATCAAGAGTTTATATGTATAGTTTTTAAGATAGACCTTTGGATGTTGTTTTTTTGTTTGTTTGTTTTTGCAAAATTGCTTTAATGATTCTCTTATGTTTATCATCTTTAGCAAACAAGAATTTCTTTAGGGTTTAAAACTAGAGTAGCTATTTCTGGTTTGCACTTACAAAACCTTTTTTTTTTTTTTTTTAGTCTTCCCAGCAATGCTCAGGAATCCTGAAGCCACTCCTTGTCAGCCTACCAGCCTGATGGTTCAATGCTAGGGTCTGAAGAAATGGAGCTTCTCAGGCCCTCAGGTTATACAGTTGCAGAGAACACCGGGGCCAACCCCAGTGATATTCAGGGACCTTTAAGGCTATATAACATGGTGCTGGGCAGGAATGAAGGAGGACCCTCTAGGTCTACACCTGTGTTTGGAAGCTATGCATGCAGCATGCTGAGTACAACCAAGGTCGTGGGTATGCAAATTATAAACATCTAACCCCTGTGCTGTCTCTCTGATCCTGAATTATACACTTTTTTGGGGGTGGGGGCACACCCAGAGGTGCTCATGGTTCACTCCTGGCTCAGGGGACCATATGGGGTACTGGAGTTCGAACTCGGGTCAGCTGCATGCAAGGCAAGCACCCCACCCTCATAGCTCTGGTTCCTTTGCACAGTTGCACAGTGTAATTTGTTTGTTTGGTTTTGTTTTGGGTGAAACCTGGAGATGCTCAGGGTATAACTAATGGGATTTACGCTCAGAAATTACTCCTGACAGTGCTTAGGGAACCACATGGGATGGTGGGGATTGAACCAGGTCCACTGCATACAAGACAAGCACTCTATCTCCAAAGAAGTTTTTATCAGTAGCAATTAATACAATAGACAATTTCCATTTATTATAACCACATTACCTAAATTACAATAAAAAATAAAAGCTTCAGGCCTGATAGTACAATGGTGCCACTTGCCTTGCACGCAGCTGACCTAGATCCAATACACAGCACCACCAACGAGAACGATGCCCGACACAGAGCCAGGAGGTAAGTCCTGAGCACCTTGGGTGTAGCCACAAAACAAAATTCCTACTGCTTTATAAATACAGTTTAAATTATTGCCAACATGTATTGGCTATTTGCCAACATGATAGGTATGTAATGGTATTTTAAAATGTCTGATATTTACTTATTTTTGGTTTGGGGGCCATTCCTAGCAGTGCTTAGGGGACCATATTTGGTGCCCAGGATGGAACCTGAGCCTTCCACATGGAAATCATATACTACTCTGCCCACCATCCACCATCCAGCCCAGATATTTCATTTATAAAAGTGAGACAAAAGGGATTGGGAGTAAGCCATATTCACAGTTTTGTCTCATTGGGGTTCAATTTGTCATTCTGTGGTCACTAGAGAGATAAGACTTCTGTTTATTGGGCGGGGTGGCACTTCTATTCTGTTATTTCTTATTTATACGGCAAATTTTTCTTCTGGGTTGTTTTTATAACTTCTAAATTCACATATATTTCTATCAGCTGCTAATGTTTAATTGATTATAACTCAAAAATACTAATCCAGACTGTAACTTGCCTTTCCTATCTGCCCCCGAACCCTTGTGAGTGTGTTTGTGTGTGTGTTCTTTTGTTTTTGATCACTTCCAGCAATACTCAGGTCTCAGGGCTCACTCCTGGCAGTGCCTCGGGGCCATATGCAGTGTCAGGAATTGAACTGGGGTGGGCCATATGCAACATAAGAAACTTTGCCCTCATACTTTCTCTCCAGCACCAAAGCTGTATTAAAAATAAATAGTTGGCTAAAGAAACTTTCGTACATCTACACAATGGAATACTATGCAGCTGTCAGGAAAGATGAAGTCATGAACTTTGCTTATAAATGGATAGACATGGAGAGTATCATGCTAAATGAAATGAGTCAGAAATAGAGGGACAGACATAGAAGGACTGCACCCATTTGTGGAGTATAAAACAACATAACATGAGGCTGACACCTAAGGACAGTAGATACATGGGACAGATAGATTGCTCCATAGCTGGAAGCCTGCCTCATGAGCAAAGGGGAGAAGGCAGCTGGAATAGAGAAGGGATCACTAAGAAAAAGATGGCTGGAGGAATAGGTCAGGATGGGAGATGTGTATAGAAAGTAGATAAAGGACCAAATATGATAACTTCTGAGTCTGTGTTGCAAACCATAATGCCCAAAAGTAGAGAAGATTATGGGGAATCATGTCTGCCACAGAGGCAGAGGGAGGGTGGGAAGGGGGAAGTATACTGGGGATATTGGTGATGGGGAATGTGCACTGGTGGAGGGATTGGTGTTTGGTCATTTTGTGATTGCAACCCAAACATGAAAGCTTATAACTATCTCACGGTGATTCAATAACATTTTTAAAATAATAGTTGGCGCCGGAGATAGTACAGCAGGTAGTGTGCCTGCCTTGAACTCACTCAATCTGGGTTCAATCCCTAGTATCCCATATGGTCCCCTGAGCACTGCTAGGAGTGATCCCTGAGTGCAGAGCCAGGAGTAACCCCTGAACATTGATAGGTGTGGCCCTAAAGGAAAAAAAAATAATTGTTGAATGTTTCAGTTTAGTTTTGCTATGCTTTGTGCTTGTGTGTGTGTGTTTGTGTGTTATTAATTAACTCTTCTAATTTTAAGAGGAAGACCTGTAATTTCTTTCGAACACATTAAAGTTTTGCTTTGTGCATTTTGGTCTTTTACCTATTTGGAATTAAGGGGTAAGAAGTGACATGGAGATTCAATTTTGTATTTTTCTTCAGAAAATCAATCCCAGCAGTATATGTGTACTTTTTTTTTTATCCTCTTTATTTATTTGGCTCTTTCCAGGTCAACACGGTCTTAGGTATTAGAACTAAATAATATCTTTCCACATGATATGCCTTCCCATTTAGAAATGCTTCTCTCCTCTCTTCCTCTTCCGTTACCTCACCCCCTGCCTCTCTCTACCCCCCCCCCCCCACACACACCTAGCAATGCTCTGGGGTTACTCTTGGATCTATGCTGGGGGCGGGGGCTGTTGGTCCAGGAGGTGCTCAAGGGACCATGTTGTGGTGGGGATTAAACCTGAGCTTCCTACATGCAAGGTGTGCCCCCAGCCTTTTAAGCTGCCAGGCTGAATGCTTTTTAATAACTCCATTTTTTCTTCTTTGTTTCTCTTCCTCCTCCTCCCCCACCTTCTCCTCCTCTTCCTTCTCCTTTCCCTTTCCACTCCCCACTCCCTCCTGCTCATCTCTCCCTTTCTCCTCCTTCTGTGCTGGGGATTGAACCCAGGGCCTCACATATTTGAGGCATGCTCTCTATATTCCTGGCTCATATAATTTCCTTATAATAAAGATTACACTTAATTTTTTTTCAGAACCATTCTTAGGATTCATATTTTTGTTGATGTTGCAAGTGAAATTACATTCTCGGTAGGTATGCATAGAAAATGAGGTAATATTGGGTCTGGAGCAATAACACAGTGGGTAGAGTGCCTTGCATGAGACTGAGTCAGGTTCAATCCCTGGTATCCCATATGGTGCCCTGAGCACCGCCAGGAGTAATTCCTGAATGCAGAGCCAGGAGTAACCCTTGAGCATTGCCAGGTATGACCCAACCATTCCCCCCTC